ATACAAGTGGCATATGTCATTCTTTTAGAGGTAAAATAATAGATTTTCTCAATTCGTTGAGTTAACCTCAACAAATTCAGTGATCATTTTTTATCAAAAACATTAACGGTATTATTAATTGGACTAAATTGACACAAAATTAAAAATTACAGGTTACAATTGATTTAATTAAAAATATAAGGACCAAAATTAATATTTATTTATTTTATTTAAAATATGAACAAACCTAATCCATGTGATGCATCTGGCCTCATTCTCCACCATTTTTTTTTAATATTTTTTTATAACGAAAGAAATAAGGGAACTCAAACGAAACAAACTGTAGTGATTCTAATTTTTTCTTAAGTCATCATTTATTATTATTATTACTTTATTTTATTTTTTTGGATTTTATTAATTTCCACTACGTCAAAACAGGGCATTAACGGCGATTTTTTTAACGGCGTTAATTATAATTAATTTAATGTGAGATTTAATTATATATAATTAATCCGAATATTTACATATTTTATATATAAAAAAATGTTTTATATATTAATAAAATATATATTATATTTATGTTTTTTGTATTTATGTTATATTTGTATAATATAATATAATAGTTATTAGGTTATATAATTGTGATTAGACTGTAATAGGACTGTCATTAGGAAAAAAAAAAAAAAAAAAAAAAAAAAAAAGCAAAATCACATATGGTGCAGCAGCAGCCGAGAGAGAGAAGTCGAGATGGCGGGAGAGGGAGGAGATGGAAAAAAAAAGCGGTTAGGATTTTATTTTGGTCATTTTATTAATTCTTTAAGTATTTTTTTGATTTTTGAAAAATAATTGTGAGTGTAAAACACAATTCTTAATTTATGTTTATTTCATTATTTTTATTTATTTATTTGATGTTAGTTTAATATTATATTGGTATACAGATGATGAATTGATTTCAATTATTTTGGTTAGTTGTGTATGAAAGGTTTATGATTTTTATATATATTTATTTTATGGTTGTAATCACACTCATGGATATATGAAATTAAAATAAACTAGGAATCCATAGATAAATTTCGAATACTCCACCATGACTCCAGGAATTGTTGTTTTGTTTGAGTGTTAGTGAGAAAAAGTGTATAAGAAAAAATAAGGATTATGAGATTGATTTAAATGCCTTAGGCTCGGCATTGTTATATTTGTTCTTGTGAGTAGATGAGAGGTTGTGTATATATATATATATATTGTTGCTTCGTTTTCAAGAGTAGACGAGTGCTTTGATTTACGCGCGTACCTATATGCTAACTGTTCGTGGAGTGTGAGTCAAACTCGGGATGATATCCCTGTGCAAGTTTGGCTTCGAAGCGGTGTTAGGTATACGGGAGGCACATGAGATATATGTGTAGGCCGAAAATGAAAGGCCGAAGTGGTAGAGTTAAAATACAAAGAATTAAATATTAGTTTATTGGTATAGTTTAATTGTATTGATTTGTACATCTCGAAAAATAGTAAACGACCTCAATAAATTATGAAATTTGGGCAGAGACATGTATACGTAATTCTAGACAACTTTTTTATTTTAACTTTTTACTAAAAAAATCAATTAGAACTTGTAATCAGATAATCTTGGTTACAATAGTTTTTATTCATTTTAGTAATGCAAACTTTAGATGCTGTTTTAACCTATGAAACGAGCTCATTTTCATTGATTCGCGTAAAGTAAAGTAAAACATTATTCTAAACACTTTTCGTGTTTTGAAATTTTTCGAAAAAATTATTTTAGGGCAGTTTCTTTTCATTTTCAGCTTCAGATTTTTTAGTTGAATTCTGTTTAAATTCTTCTATCAAGTTTTTCTCTCAACTTGTTCAGTTTCTACTAAATTCGTTCGCAATGTTTTTTTTAGGAAATTTGATTCTGTACAACTTTTATTATTTGAGTTTTGGTCAATTCGAATGATTTAAGAATGAAACGGTGTATTTTTATACTTTTTTAGTAATTTACTTATGATTAAATTATATTAACTTTATTTTTTTCAGAATGGTGGGTCTTACTAACTTTTTATGCAAGATTAATCCACCATATTATTTTTTTATATTTTTTTTGTATACTTAATTTATATTTAGTTGTGTACGGATAAGAATACCTTTATATTTAGTTGGAGTTTATTAGGTATTCTTTCTCTCTTTCCCACTCTCATCAAACACATACAATATTTCTATCTTTGCCACTTATTTATGATCTTCTTATTTTAGGCATAAAACTTGATACAATTTGAAAAATGTAATCTTTTAACTCATGAATTTATTAATTTTCATCTTTTAATATAAAAGGTTAATTGTGATTTACTATTATTGTATTTATATTATGATTTTATATAATGTTTTGCAAGTGTTTGTTTAAATGCTTCAGTGAGATTTTGCATTATTTTGCTCTGTTTTTATTCTAGTTTTTTTTTTGTACATTTTTTTTGTTTGTAAGGATGAATATGATGACAAAATAATACTAATCTCTTTTCACACTATCACTTCAAGAAAGATTCTAAAGCCTTATCTATGTTATTTTTTATTATTATTATTTTTATTTATTTATTTATTTATTTATTTTGCATTCATAAACATGGTATTCCTAAAAGTTCCAATTAAGTGATTAAATCATGTAACTTGCTTATTTACTAGAGAAATGCATATCACTTTTAGTTGTGATCATTTTCACACTGGCATTTTATACTAATTTATTTTTTAAATATTATTTATTAATTGTAAATATATAATTACTTAAGTAGTTAAATCTTGATTTACAGGGGGGAGATAAAATTGTTTTAAAAAGTATCATTAGGCCAATAGAAACAGTTGAAATCGAAGTACTTAAAAGCACAGACCCATCTAAAGAAGTAGAAAGGGGAAGAATTAGAACCTGACTATTGGGATTTACATGTTCAAGTGCCAGTCCAATCTAATGAGAGCTTGATTCGATCATATGGATTTGTCAAAACAATTGGACAAACTATTGGAGCTCATGTTGTTTGACCTGCTCCATTTGTGATATATTTCTTTCGAAAATACTAATTTCATTAACAAATTTATATTAACTTAATATAGTTTCAATTAACTTTATATGTTTATCTTGTAGATGCAAATTTCATAAGTTGCAGATGCTAACCAAGAATATTTATACAAGTGAGGTTGAGAATTTAGGAACTAAATTTGTTTTGATAATTTGTCTTTTCGGAAGATGGATATCACTATGGCTTTTCAGAACTTATGATTAGAATAATTTTTTTTTGCTTTAACCTCGTTAGTGTGGTAGAATATTTTATAATTTTGATTATGATTTGTATTGCAATATTAATAAATTTATATTTTTAGATAAAAAAATGATTATGGTTTGAATTTTTTTGTTTTTGATGTGATGATTTTATGGTGGTAATATTTGTTTATTATTATAAAAATATTACAGGATGAATGGATGTCAAATTAATATAAGATGTGGCAATTAATATTCAATTTTTTTTATAAAATTGATTCAATTTTTATAGACATTTATGCATGCTTAGTTGTGGCTTTTAAAACTGTCAATGAAAAAAACGTATAAGTGGCATTTCGTAGTAGTGGTAGTAGCTTTGCAAAGTGTCACTAAAATAAGCTCCAATGGCACTTATATCCATTTAATGACACAAATGAATTGAGTTTAGTAGCATTTATGAAGTTGTTAAAAATATCAATTGTGGCATAACAAGCGACATTAAAAATCCATGTAGTGGCATTTTTTAAATTGTAAGTCTTTTTTAATGGCACTTGATAGCGTCACGAATAGTGTATACCATGACATTAAAGTGTCACTGAAAATATTTAGCTTTGATGGTGTAATGACACTTATAAGTGTCACTGAAGTGCCACTAAATTTGCTTTTAATGGCGCTTGATACTGTTACAAATAGTGTCTATCATGACATCAAAATGTCATTGAAAGTCTTTAGCCATGATAGTATAGTAGTGTCGCTGAGGTGCCACCAGTATCTACCGTGGCATAGGTATAAATGACACTTATTTAAAATGTCACAAAACTAAAAAATGCCATTAAAAGAATAGTTTCATGACACTTTCAAATATCACTAAATTAAAACAATGTTGTAGTGAAAGTTTAAAATTAATTTTTTTTTATAATGAATATTAATTTTTTATGTTTAACATTAGCTTAAAAAATTATTATTATGTTATTGTTATTGATTGAGAAAAAAAAATTATAATTATAATTAATAGATGTCCCCTATATTAAATTCCAGTCTCCGCTATTGACAGTAACTAGCACTCACTACAAGGAAATACATTTTTGGTGACCATTTTTGGCGACTAAAACAAATTTAGTCGCCAAAAGTTACGGAATCGGCTACCAAAAATAAAATTCGTCGGAAAAAGTCAAATATTTAGCTACTAATTTTTTTTAGTCGGGGAATATTGATTATTGGTGACTAAAAAAAATTTAGTAGCTAAAAATATCACAATTAGCAACTAAAAGAAATTTAGTCTGCAAAAATGCTAGAAATTGGCGACAAAAAACAAATTTAGTCATTGTAGGTGTACATTTGGCTACTAAAACTTTTGGTCGGCAAATGTAAAATAAAAAATTAATTTTTACCTTTTGGCGACTAAAATTTTAATTGCCAAAAGTTGATTTCCAGCGACGAAATATAATGTTAGTCGCCGTTGGTGTACATTTGGCGACTAAAACCTTTGGTCGGCGAATGTAAAATAAAAAATTAATTTTTACCTTTTGACGACTAAAATTTTAGTCGCCAAAAGTTGATTTTCAGCGACGAAATATAATGTTAGTCGCCGTTGGTGTACATTTGGCTACTAAAACCTTTGGTCGGCAAATGTAAAATAAAAAATTAATTTTTGGCGACTAAAATTTTAGTCGCCAAAAGTTGATTTTCAGCGACGAAATATAATGTTGGTCACCAAAAAATTAAAATAATTGGGGGGAAACATTTTAAATTTTGGAGGGATTTATCAAGCCCCCAAATCTTCAACACATTTCATTCTCTCTCTCACTCTGACCCTTGGAGACTCCCCGACGAAGCTAACCCTCCAAAACCCATCTCCGATTTTCACTCTCCTCTGTCCCAACTGTAAAATTTTTGTCTAGAATGGACTTGGAAGAAGAGTACGATCCAAGCTACAACGATGAAGACGAAGATGAGATCACTCAAGAAGACGCTTGGGCCGTAATCAGTGCTTACTTCGAAGAGAAGGGTCTAGTTCGTCAACAGCTCGATTCCTTCAATGAGTTCATTCAGAACACTATGCAAGAAATTGTTGACGAGTCCGCAGATATCGAGATTCGACCCGAGTCACAGCACAACCCTGGTCACCAGGCCGATCTCGCTGAGGTTCTACTCTTAAATCACTAGGTTTATGTCTTCTGTAGTTGAAAACCCAGTTGAAAAAATTGGAAATTGAATCAGATGAAATTGAATACAAAATCAAAGTTTTGTGATAGTTAACAGGGTTTCTGTGTAGTTTTCAGGGAATGTAGTTTTGTGGTAGTTTGGCTGAAGTTGAACTCAAAATCAACGTTTTTGTTGTGGTATTGGGGGTAGCAGAGTCAATTGTTAGTAGCTGCAGTTGGGTGGTGAAAATAAAGTTTTGTGATGATTTGATTGAAGTTGCAATGAAGATTGAAGTATTTGTAATTTGTGATGCATTAAAACTAGTTGATTTAGATTGTCCTTTTTTTTGGGGGGGGGGTAATGGTTTAGTATTAAAATTTTATGAATATATATAAATTCATTAACAATATAAGAGAGTTACATTGCTTCAAATCTAAATGTAATGTTAGAAATCATACTTTCCTATCCTCTTTTTTATTTTCAATTTCAATTAATTGAAGCACAAAGCAATACACTTTCTGAAAAATCTATTTAGTTGGGTTTTAAATCAATCTGCATATCATAGATGACTGCCTATGTGTTTCCATGATAACCCAAAAAATAATAAAATAAAAACCAAACAACTGATATTGTTTATGAATGGGAATTGAAGAAGCAGGCCATCAATTTCCTTCTTTGCATTGTTGATGGAAATGTCTCCCATGAATATAATAATGAACATGTGGAGTGTTCGATGTATATGCCTAGTCTTTTTGCTACTTTGCAGATATATTGTGAATCCTTGTTTTAAAATTATAAAGGTGGATCAAATTATAAAGTTTTTTTTTTCTTCCTAGTGCTGAACAATGACTCTTTGGTCCTTGTGGAAACTCACAATGGGCTGACCGTAGTTCTAAGAACTTTTATTTGATATAGATTTAGGTTGTTCTTTTCATTAGTCATGAGACCTTTGATTTGGAACTCTGATATATGCTTAGGAAATTTGGGAATTCATTCATTTGTTCTGAGCAACTTCTATTGGATATAATAATTATTAGGACAAATCTACAATGTGTGTGCACCCCTAAAAAGGGTATGGAAGTGATTCCTTTTCAAGATAATGGCTTAATCCTAGATAGGAAAGGAAGTGATCCTAATCATTGTGCAGTCCAATTGTAATTGAAATATTCTCACTAACAGGGACATCAATAGATTTTGTGGAAGGCAAAACACTCAGCAATTTGAAGAGAAGATTATTCCTAAAAAATCGTTTTATTAAGCACTGAAAATGCTTTTCATTTCTTTATTATGGTCACTATGTCCATTGTAGTTTTCTAGTTTGCTTGAGAATATTGCCTTCATTATCTTAAGTGGGAGCATTGTGTAATGGATCACATTTTTTAAATTATCTTAAGCAAGATAATTATTTACTGAAGGTATCCAGAGTTGTTCATCATTTGTGCATAACACAGAGCAACATGAGTCAATGGTAGGCCATCATTTTATGTTGGCCGATTAGTTGGTAAACCGTAGGCAGCGTAGCTCTGCAAGTAGTAGGGTGCACAATCTATCAAGGAAAGTGACTGCATAATATAATCCATTGACTTCATCATTTTTTTAAATAAATAGGGGAGCTTAAGAGTTAAAAATGAAGCCTATCTTTTGTGATCCCAGAAATTTAAAAATGGGTTTCTGTAATTTCTTGTGAAATTAAAATATGATCATCATTGTAATTTGCTTCAATTAAATTTATACTGTATTTTGTTGTTTATTTCTTTGATTGCTATCAATGACTTGTAAGTGCATCACCCTTCTGTTTGTATTATTCGTTTCTATAATTATGATATACACTCTTTGTCCTAGCAAACATATGCAGTGAATTATAATCAGCTATGATCTAATTTCTTACAGGCAGAAAACTATTGGTCACCGTACCAATTGCAGCAAGTGCAAGTTGGGCCGAGGGCAGTTTTGTGGAGATTGCTTATACACAAGGTAAATTTAAAAACATATATTGTCTATCAAAAAAATATTTGAGGATTTTATTTTTTCCCCAAATATTTGCAAACTATGTGATGCAAAATAAATGGAAGCTGTGTTGAGGGTGAGGCTTATTGAAAATTGAGATTTTTTCTTTGTTGTCAGAAAAAAAAGGTGAACCATGTTCTGGTAAGGTGAACCATGTTCTGTTCCTTACCGAATGAAATTTGTATGCATCAAGCCATAAATAGCGATTTGATGTTTTTTTGCAGTAATTTTTAAAATTTGAACTCTTAATAAGAATAAATATGCTTTTATCTTACTAGCTTACATGATATGTAATCCTAATAGACATGTTTAAAGTCTTACCTCCATCATATGAATAAATACCCTTTTCTGTGAATAAACATTTTGGAAGATCAGCCATTCAATTAGATATACCACTTGTAATGGTAGTGCTTCCCATGAATAAAGAGAAATATGCAATTGGAGGTGTGCAATTACAACATGAAGCATTTACTTTATTTTTAATCTATTAACCTTAGGATGCTATACGACATTGTTTATTTTCAATATATGACATTGTTGTTGGTGATGTTATACCTCTTAAGATTGGTGATCAGGTGAGTGTAGCCTATTTAAGTGGGTTTGATTTGTCGGACATACAAATTTATTTTTATGAATCCACTATTGCAACTGTAGATATTACTGCTTATGAACACGAGAAAAAATAGGTTGTTACCTTTCCATTTTTCCCAGGTCCTAGCAGATGGAATCATAATTTCTGGTCATTCTCTTGCCATCGATGAATCTAGCATGATTGGGGAAAGCAAGATTGTAAGTTATTTAGAATCAACACAAAATGAGGATTGTTGATGGCAAGTATCTCGGAAGTATTTGAGCATTTAGTTTTTTATGTGATTTATTTAAATTAATTCACCATCAAAAAAATATATAATTGTGCATGTATCATATTTATAATCACCTAATTTCAAATTCAACCCAGTGGGATTCATTTTATGTCTTTACTCATTTCAGCTGTGCTCTAGCAACAATGAATTGTACTCTCCTTCACAAGCTCTGGTCAGGACCCATATGGTGTGGAAGAAGGACAAGAAGAGAATCAGGAGAGTGAGGTGCACCTGCTATTTCCCTTCCCACTGTAGGCATTCGTAGTGTGTGTGTGTGTTGGGTGGGGGGAGCCATCCTAACAATAACTCTTTGGTCCTTGTGGAAACTCAGAAATGAATGTATATTTAAGAATGCAGCACCAGAATTGTATATTTTACACTCCAATTTTATTTACTAATTTTAGGATTGATTATTAGGTTGATATTTTGTATTACATATGTCGAATGGAGGGAATGTATTTTGTATTACTAAATTATTGAGGTTGGAATATACTTGGGTCGTATGGAATATGTATTACATATGTGGAATGGAATGGAATTGGATGTCAAATGGAATTTTTGGCATGCACATTGTCGAATGGTTGATAATATATATTTAGTATTGATGGATTTTATTGATTATACATTGTATAGGTTGTACTAATAATGGATACAGGTGGTTCAGAAATTTTAAAAAAAAAAAATATTTGTAATATAGTATTTGGCTACTAACTATTTTGGTAGCCAAAAACTATTTTCAAATGTTTTGGCCACTAATAATGTAGTAGCAAAATGAATAAAAGTTGGCATCCTTTGGCGACTAAATGCCATGGTCGGCAAATAGTTCAATTAGCGACTAAAACTTTAGTCTCTAAATAATTCAAATTAGTTTTGTTATAACTTTCGGCAACTAATATTTTGGTCGCCAAAAATATCACTTTTGCCGACTAACCCAACTTTAGTAGCCAAACGTTGACGTTTGGCGACCAATAATTTAGTAGCTAAAAACTACCTTTTCGACGACTATTTTTTTAGTCGCCAAAGGGTCACATTTGCCGACTACACAAATTAGTAGCCAAATGTTGCACTTTCAGTGACCAAACTCGCGTTTAGTCGCTAAAACATTCGCCGACAGGGTTTAGGCGACTAAGTTGGCGACAAAAAAATTTAGTCGCTAATTGGTTTTGGCGACTAAAAAGGTGACCTTTGGCGACTAAGATTTTGATCGGCGAAAGTCTAATTTCTTGTAGCGACTGGTATCTACTTATGATAGAAGGTCCTTGCATAGCTTACGTACTGTACTAATTAACTATGATACGTAGTGGTTATAATAGTAGTGCTATTGGTGAGCAAGGATCCTCCCCTTCATCTCTCTCCTTCATTTCCTCCTTGTAGGGGCTTTCGGCTCCACTTTGAGGATCAATTTTGATAATCCGAACCGTTCATATTTTAATATTTATTCAGTATATCATATCTGTAAAAAATCAATTTGATCGGATATTAGAAAGTATGCGTTCAGAAAATTGGGACTACAAACTATTTTTTAATAAACAGTTTTCCGAACATATACTTTCTGATATCTGATCAACTTGATTTTTTACAAGTATGATACAATGAATAAATCTTAAAATATGAACGGTATGGATTATCAAAATTGGGCCTTAAAGTGGGCCCGAAGACCTTGCAAGAAAGGAATGAAGAAGAGAGATGAAGTGGAGGATCTCAATTCGCTATTGGTGGGGGTAGGGTGGTACAGGTGTTATGGTCACCGTAGTAAAGTAGTGACATTGCTAAGACTTTAATTTAGACAATTTTTTTTTACTTTTCAAAAGTAGAAATTATTTTGACCTAAATAAACTTATTCTTTGTCAATAGCAAAAAATGTCCTTTGTTAGCTTTCATTTTTTGTCATACCAAGCATCAAATAATGTAAAATATATATTTTTTGAAAAAAAAAATAAAAAAATACGAAGCTTTACATTAACAAACCAACCTTAGAAACAAAACATGCAAAGTAGAGAGCTCATTACATTAGTTGCTAAACAAATTTACTGTATTGATTAATCATATCAATCAAACTGTAGTGGAACACTGAGTCCCTTGCTTAGAACTCAGTTGACCTGAGGTTCGAAAATCCACAACAGCTACACAATTGGCATTGAACCTGTTCCTGCCTGAAACCCAAGTCCCCACTTTCCACCTAAGCCTTCCATTCATCTGTCGGGAATTGATATGCACCAAATCATTTAAATATAATTCACTTTCACAAAATACATCAGCACAATAAACTATAAAAATCAAAAATCAAATAACAATAAATAATACATAAATCTGTAAAATTGGGGAGAGAGACAACAAATCGTTGTTATGAATTTATATTCGTATTTATGTATATTTTAATAGACGAATTACGACTATACGATACAATCCAAAATCTTACAGAATATTTGACATGTGCATAATGAATGACACAAACCCGGATATTAAGTCTGTAACGAATTGCCCAAAAAATATAAAAGAATAACGACAATATTCTGTGTGTATAAAAAAACTTCTGAAATTTTTCTTGAGTTAAGATGTGAAGGGTGATTCTCTATATATAGGATTCTAAAAATCCATTACCTTGAGACTCATGACCAGTTTTCCGGCAGCCCGGTCCCTGCCCAACTCATAACCAAAAGATGGCCCAGCAGGCAACCCAGTTCCAGTTAAGGACCCCGCCAGAAGGTTGCTCTCGTCATGGTCTTGATAGAAGGGCGGAAGGGAAGTACCAACAGTTATCTGTTGGCCCTTGTAAGAGGCATAAACTTGAAGCTCGTCGTAGTATATGCCCACTTTCTTGTTCGGGTTTTTGGAGAGGAGAGTGAATTGGATAGAGGAGTTGAGAAGATGTGGAAGTGGAGCTGTGAGGTTGAGTTGGTAGAGGTCAGCTTCTTTGAGGGAGAACTCGGGCTTTGAAGGGTGTAGGATGAGCCAAACTAGAAAGATGAGGAATAGGATTGAGAGGAAAAAGGTGGAGAAGGCATAGAAGAGCTTCTTGTAGTGCTCCTCTATGTTCTTCAATCCTTGCTTGGCACAGTGTTTGGGAGATCGTGTAAGGACCTGAGACATTTGCAGTAGGAGAGAGAGAGAGAGAGAGAGGTGTACAAGGCTAAGGAGAAGGAAGTGATGAAGTTAAATAGAATGAGGTGTTCTGTTTAGTTTCATTTAAAACATAAGGCCTATTGGTGAACACAATTTATAAATTTGTTATTTTCACATTATTCTAAAAGTAAATTATGTATAAAAATTTTAGTAGAATATCATTTTCCTTTTCCTCTTGATGCTTTTGAATGGGGTTAAATGAAAAATTGAAAAAATAATTATAAATTAATTTAGTGTAGTTAAATGTGTCTAGTGTAAAACTAACTAGACCTAACCTAGTTAGCTACCATGCCTTTCTTAGAGTTTAGTCTCAAGGAAGTCACGGGTTCAATTTCCCTTAAGGAGATTAAATTAAGGGTGTGCAAGTACTTAGATGCTTTGTCAAGGGTGGAGAGATTTTCTCCCATAAGTGATTTGCCGATAAAAAAAAATGTGCCTAGTGTAAGACACAATTATCACTTGCATTCACATCCACGCTCCATTAATTTATTAGAACTATTATATATCATTTGTTTCTTTAAATTTTTTACATCACAAAATTACATAATAATATATTTTTTCATTAATTATTTGATAAATGTCGTAAAACAAAAGAATCAACCGTAGTTATCCATATCTGAGGTAATATTAAATGGTAACAAAAAAAAAATTAAAAAATATTGAGTGTAACATGGTATCACCAACCAATAACAAGCTGCATAAGTAGATCAATTTTGTCACCCATTAACTCAACAATATTGTAGTCCTTACTGCAAAAGAATATTGCTTATTGAATAGAGATATTACCACATAGTATTACCATTATATCTATTATTTACTCACAAAACCGGTAACACATAATATTTATCTTAATTTATATTAGGGTAAATTACACTAACACTCCTTGCGATTTCTGTTTAATATAGATCCTGCTCATATTTGAAAAATTACATTTCTCTCCTTGAAATTTGTAATCTCATTAGAAATTGCCTCCTAGATTGCTGATGTCATACCCTAAAATTTTCTAAATAACCATCTTGCCATTTTTCCTACCATTTCTTCTTCCTATCATCATGACTACATTCTACAACTTTTCATCATTAAATTCTACTTGAACATATTCTTATTTAGTGATGATATACAAATATAAATTTTATATAGAATTTTCAAACACAATGATATAGTTTAATGGTGACCTTTCACTTTAAAACAAAACACCCATAAGTATGATTTATATTTATAACAATATCACTATCACAACATTTTTAAAATATTTTTTATATAAATTATTATATGTGAATATAATTTTTCATTTCTATTTCCACCATTATATCTAAATTAGATCAATTTAATTTAGATATATTTAAAAAGTATAAAATTTGTACAAAAAATTTTAGAAAAAAATCCATCGAATTCAACAAAATAAGATAATGTATTGACTTTTTGTTTTTGTTTTTATATTTGGTGAATTTAAAAAAAATCATAAAATATTATACTTCTTAAGTATATATCTAGATTAGGTGTATCTAAAAAAATAATAAAAAATTACTTAAAATATTAAAAAAATTCAGTAAAAATTTAAAACACGAAAAAAAACTTAATTTTTTGTGTGAGTTAAACTAAAGAAGATTATTGTTATTTCTCTTGAAATGACATCAAAAAAATATCTATATTATTTTAGGAAAATGTCTTGTAGCTCAAATTTTGTGGCTCAAAAGTGGCTCAAAGGGCCAAAACGACGTCGTTTTGGCCATTTTTATGTTGTTATGTACTCAAAACGACGTCGTTTTGGCCATTTTTATGTTGTTATGTACTCAAAACGACGTCGTTTTGGCCATTTGAGCAACTTTTGAGCCACAAAATTTGAGCTACGTAGCATTGTCGATTATTTCATGTATATAAAGGCAAAGAGATAAATATGTTATTTTAATCTGACAAAGAGGGTAAACGTAATTTTTAAAATATGAGGAGGGATCTATATTAAGCAAAAACTTTAGGAGGTGTCAGTGTAATTTACCCGTTATAACTAATTGATTAAAGATATATACCCATTAAATCACTCTTTTCTTTGAATTGGCAGCTCCTCCTGGTAATATAAATGGTGGTTGTGAGAGATATTTATTTATTAACTTCTTAAATGTATATTTAAAAGTTTATTGGGGCTATGTCTCTTAATATATCATCGTTATTTTGACTTTTAATAAGGAGGAATAGAGAGATAATAGAGAGAGAAAGGATGAGGAGTGAGGAGTGGAGTTCATTCCACATCATTAAGAATGAATTAAGGTGCTCAATTAGAACTCTAAAGTATTTTTTTTTTTTTTAAAGTTTTAAGTGCATAATCAGACACCACCTTTTCATATAAAATAGATTTTATAGAAGTTGTATTTGATTCCCTAATTAATTTATATACATGTAGTTTAACTGCTAAAATTTTGAAACTTAATTATTTTTCTTTTAATTATATGGTGTCCAACAAAACATCCCATGGTATCAAAATTTAATATCAAATTCAATCACTATAGCATTATTGTCAAGTGCAAATCCATGCATCTTAACCTTGGATTCCAAGACTCTGAGTGAAAAATTTAAGTATAATGGATGTACTATATATGTTATCATTGCTAGTATGAAGGCCCGGCTTGAGATTTTTGAGGTCTAAAGTTGATAATTAGGTCTCGTTAGACAAATGATTTTTTTAGTCAAAAAGTCACTAAAAAAAACCAAAAAGCTAACAACTCATACCAAAAAGCCAAAGATTCTCTTTTCTCTCTACTTTTTGCACATCTTTTCGTAAAAAGTTAAAAAGTCATTCCGAACATACTAATTTTTTTAGCTCATATTTTAGCCAAATAGCCAAAAAGTTACTAAATTAAATTAGCATGTTCCCAAACGAGGCCTTAATTAATAAATATCACTAGATCATTTGGGACACTTCATATATTATTTTTTTTCATTCAACGAAAAAAAAAAATTGAAGGGAAAGGACAAGATTTGTGTTAAAATCACAAAAAATACTTAACATTATATTGCAACAACTAATAAGTATCACTTGATTATTGCACTTCTTGCATTTTTAGAAGTAAATAAATCAATCATTCTTGTATAATCCAGTCTTTTTCCTTTTTGTAAATCCAGACGGATAATTTCGTTTAAGAGTCATGATAAGCTAAGATCAAAATACTTTTTTAAATCAAAATAAGTACAAGAGCACCACCATCACTTAACAAAGCACAAAACTTTTTAAATTATGTGATATGAACTATTAAACTTCTAATGTTATAATAGCACAAGTAACAAAAGATTTATTCTTCTTGATGATGCAGATTTGTATAAATACTAATATTATAATAGCAATTGAGCTAAAGACAAGACAAACATTTAATTAATTTAATAGAAAAAAAGACCTACCTATGCTGTGTTGCTGCTCTGAATTTTTGAGAAATTCGTTAGTACTCTGTTGTGCCGCTTCTCTCAAATTTTTGGAAAATTTGAATTAAGAGTTAAGATTAAGAATTAGATAGGGAGAGAGAATGAGTCCTTTTAATTTTGAATAGGCCTTTTAATTTTGTAATGGGTATTTTTATTTTAAATTAGTTTGGGTCTTCTTTAATTTTTTTGAAAAATGATGCAGACCACTAATTAGTGGTTGCACTAGAGATGTGGCAGTGGGTCCCACCCACTGCCACATGTGTTTTGTATCTTAGTTTTTGTTTTTGTTTTTTTTTTTTTTTAACTTGCCACATCATTAGTGGTGGTGTTAGTGGTAGAGATTTAGTGGTCACTAGGGATGTGGCAGTGGGTGGACCCACTGCCACATGTGTTTTGTATCTTAATTTTTGTTTTTTAACTTGTCACATCATTAGTGGTGGTGTTAGTGGTAGAGATTTAGTGGTCTGTAGCATTGTTGAATTTTTTTTGAACTTAAAACATACTCAATATATTACATTAAACTATAATAGGAGAGACCATTTTTTGGATCTATTTTGAAAGGCCTTAAGCTATGGCCTGGTGGGCCTCTGCCCAGGGTCAACCCTACTAATATGTGATATCATCAATTAATAATAAAATAATACATAAGAGAGTGAATCTACTAGTCAAATGTAACTAATGATTCAATAACTTTCACATTTACATAATGAGATTAAATGTATTTGCGAGTTAATTTGTTATTAAATAATAATATCATGTGTGATGGGTTATCAGGTAACTAATCCCTCTTGGTGAGGTAATACCTCTTATTGGAGACAGGTTTAATCTTTTTCAAAAGCAAAAGAGCTTGATATATTAGCTTGCAAAAGCAAAAGTTGATATATATAGTTGCATAAAAAGTTCATCTTTGCTCGAAATTTTCTACCTTGTGCACTATGAACTTTTGCTTTAATCATGGGCTGTAAAAATTGAGTAAGCCTTTGTGTTTATCTTTACATTTGAATGCACAAATATATTTGTTATTCGATACTGGGACACCACAATAATCAATAAAAATGCCAAGCAGAGAAAGTGTTGTTTAATTGCTAAAAATTGAAATGAAAAGAAAACCCAGAACCTTAGAAAAACCAAATCTGAATTTGTTTTTTTTGTTTTCGTTTTCTTGTTTTCTGGTGTATTTCCGATGCTTTCATTTTGTGCAGTGCGCCGTGTACTACATGCGAGCCACGAAAGGTGTCTGTTGTATTTGGTATTTTTACAATTGTGATTTGTTAGTCCAATTTATATATATATATATATATCGTTGAGGGGACTAGCTATCTCTATATTTCATGTGCAACTTTTTTTTGATTGTTGTGATATATATAGTTGAGGGGACTGGCTATCTCTATATTTCATGTGCAACTTTTTTTTGATTGTTGTGACACTATAGTGACCGTATCCTAGTTTCGGGTGAACCACATAAATATTATGTTCTTTGTGTATATGATTTACAATTTTTATGTGTTTATTCTTTTGTATTTCCGTGTCTCACGGATTCTTAACATGTTGAGGGTGATCGCACGCTATGGTGGAAGCAAAAAATGATTCAGTTTCCGAGATCATCAAATAGAGTGGAA